TTCGGTTGTGAACCCCGAAAGTTGCAGGGCACTCCAGGGATTTTTACGGGATTTTCACAGTAGTCTGTGGAGTTGGGCACTCCAGTGAGTCTCACGGGATTCTACGCTGGTCTGTGGGGTGGGCACTCTAGGGATTCTCACGGGATTCTCACGGGGGATTCTCACGGTAGTCTGTGGGGTTGGGCAATCTGCGGGGTTGGGCACCCCAGGGATTCTCACGGTAGTCTGTGGGGTTGGGCACTCCAGGGATTCTCACGGGGGATTCTCACGGTAGTCTATGGGGTTGGACACTCCAGGGATTCTCACGGGATTCTCACGGGGGATTCTCACGGTAGTCTGTGGGGTCGGGCACTCCAGGGATTCTCACGGTAGTCTGTGGGGTTGGGCACTCCAACAATTCTCACGGGATTCTCACGGTAGTCTGTGGGGTTAGCACTCCAGGGATTCTCACGGGATTCTCACGGTAGTCTGTGGGGTTGGGCACTCCAGGGATTCTCACAAAATTCTCATGGGGGATTCTCACACGAGTCTGTGGGGTTGGGCACTCCAGGGATTGTCACGATATTCTCACGGTAGTCTGTGGGGTTGGGCACTCCAACAATTCTCACGGGATTCTCACGGGGGATTCTCACCGCAGTCTGTGGGGTTGGGCACTCCAGGGATTCTCACGGGATGCCCACGGGGAATTCTCACGGTAGTCTGTGGGGTTGGGCACTCCAGGGATTCTCACGGGATTCTCACGGTAGTCTGTTGGGTTGGGCACTCCAGGAGGTAGTCTCAGCGGGCGAGGAGTAATAGCTGACTTTAAAATCTAACAGCCCCACACCGAGGGCGGGGAACAAACATGAAGTGGATCGCAAGTTCTGCACAAAGGAGCACTCGGACGACGCGAAGCTCCATCAACTCCAGGCCCAAAGGTCGCGACTCCGGAAGCTCCTCCAGAAAATAAAAGCCGTGGGCTGCGAGCCTTCACCCGATGCTTCTGGGGACTCGGCACTCATGACGATGCAAATTCGGGGCCTGCGAAGAGCTAGGAGCAGCGTTTGTCAAGACAGCCTCAGACCTAAAAAACTGCTGAGCCCTGGACTTCGTCTCTTCCCTCTCGACGTTTTCGGCTTTGTAGGCGTGGAAGAAGCCGAACTGCGGGAAACATGTCGGGTTGGGCGGCCCCCTTTTGCAAGAGTATGTAAGGGCATGTAAGGGCGCATGCCTTGTCGAGTTTCATGCCCTGACAGGGAGAGCACTGCTTGATACATTATCTGAAGGCGTGTTGCACTCTGCAGGAAAAGGCAGCAAGGCACACCAGGATCGTGTCACCCTCAGCCACTTGTTCACGCTCGAACTTCTTATTGAGGCCTCGCGCAGGAAAAGACATGTCAAGCCTGCATGGCCTTCGCCCGTGCTTGCCCAAAAGCGTGATTTGGCGCACATCGGATGTAGAGAAAGAACCCGATACCTTAAAATTTCTGCTGGGCAAGGGTCCGAAGCATCACCGGGCATGCAGGGAGGCTCAGCTCAGAGCTGCAGAACAAAGGAATGAGCAGCATCAACCAGATCCAACTTCCTTCGCACCGACAAAATCCGACACAGATCTCCCGACAGCGCACAACACGAGATGCTCGATAGCAATCTGAAGATCCTTCTGGAAGCCGTAATGTGAAGCCCTCCTCCTCCACCGCAGCTCTGCCTGCCACAGCCCATCAGTGCACGGGACTCAACACCAAGTTCGAGACTTTGCGCCAGGCATCACCCTAGCGTACCCTGAGATTCTGAAGAATCTGCTGAAAAGAGGTCCCCGAACCCCAGAACCATCACAAGCATCTCACATTACAAGTACCTCGCCTTCAGGGGTGGTGGTTGTCACCGTGGTCGTCTCCTCTTTGTAGAACAACTCGCGCTGAAGAATCACGGGGCAGCCCTAGGCTTCGCTGACAAAGCTTTAAAGCTGCTCATGCTCGGTTGCTCAGTGTCGAGCTCGAGGTGAGCACTCCCCCTCCTGCCAGCACAACATGTCAGCTTTCGCATTAGCTTTCCCAACAGGTCTGGCAGCTGAAGGTAAACAAGGATCTATGACAATGAAAGCATGTCCTGTCGGCAGCAGTACTCCGTAATTCCCGAGCAAAGAGTGTCACACCTGACTCTCGAGCAGTCAGACCAGGCGGCAAAGAGCCCGAGCAAGAAATATAGGACCTAGGAGATCCCAGTATACAGCCGGTGTACACCAGCAAGCGGGCAAGCCAAAGATCAAGATCAAGATAAAGAGCTCCCTGAATCAGGGGTTCTTGTTCCTGTTGATGAGATCTAGGTCCTAGGTACTCTTCTGGATGCCCAGATACGTTTCTGAGCATACCTGTCGTACCAAGCGGCATGATCGGCAACTGCGCTGGGCATTTTGCGCGGCCACGATGGTTCTCACAGCAGGACCACCTTGCACGTCTGGGACTTTTGCAGCTGCTCCAACCTATTTTTCAATGCCGTCAAGAAGCCCTTCTGCATTGATGTCACAACGATGGCCGTCCAGGCCTCACGACGTGTCGGCAAAGCAAGTGGTACTAAATGTAAAATTCCGCAACAAAGATCTGCAAAAACTGCTGGGCACCGCCGCATTCAAGAACATTCACTTCACCAGAGTGGTTCCTTGGATCAAGCAAGCACATCAGAGTAGCTTGGGCAGCGCGGCGGGGCCCCTGAAGCTCTTAGAATGAGCTGAGTGACAGCCACGGACACGGAGAGTTCTGAGGCAGCACCTGCATTCGACTCTGGTACCCGGCTCCCGAGAAATTACCACACTTTCAGCGAACAGATAGTCTTCAGAATAGTCATCATCACCACCAGCGCGCCACCGGCACACATGCGTTGCAACCATCATAGCCATCATCCTCGTCGTAATAACGGCATGGGGGCCTTCACCATGCCAAAGCCGTAGGCCGTGCATAAACAGCAAGCGTCAGAAGCAAACCAAAAGTCCAAAGATAGCAACCCTGGAAGCAGCAACAATGAAGATCACCACAACGCTACACCAACACTGACAATGTTGAAATATCTTATCCATCGCTCATCTCACGAATGTTGCGTGATAGAATCACCAACAAACACAGGTCACAGCGCTCCAGTACCAGTTGGAAGAGATTCTTTTGACCAGAAGCAATACACTGAGTGATGCTTGCAGACTGGGTGGATACAAGGTTTAGAGTGGTGGCCTTCGGCAGCTGCATAGCTAGGCCTGGCAGTTTCCATCGAGCCGTCATGTAGTCAAGGCAGCATCACCGGGCGGCGCACACTCCAGGTCTCCCGGAAGTCGGGTGTCCCTGGCCCGACAGCGGCACTTTACTCCAGACTCGCAAACGTGAGCGCTGCGACACTGCCTACAGGAATCCGAAAGCCGCTGCGAGCTGAAGGCTTCGCAGATCTCCGGCTCGCACAACTTAGTTACTGCCCGTGTGAATCGCACGAGCTCCACAAGCTTACGATCTTTCAAGCAAGGGCCCTGACAGCGTCCAACGACGTGTTTGCAATTCCCAGCCTTGACAGCTCGAGCTTTGCGGTTTCAATCAGTCATGGCTTCGGCTTCAGCCTTCCAAAAAGAAGGTAGTTGTCCACGATCGTCGGGCAATCTGTGATTCCCAGTTCGTTGACATAGCTCATTCCCTGCGCCCATGGTCAGCAGACTGTAGCAGACTCATGCATGCCGCTGGTGACATGAAGATGCCAAAAACAACATCCGAGGTATCAGCAGGGCAGACGCAATCGCAGAAAGCAAGGACCTTAGATGGCTGTTTTCAACGTCCTGACGTGCCACGGAGGGAGACCTGCGAACTGGGTTCACAACGTCCAACCGGTCATGGCACTCATCCCGGCGGTTGTACATGTCCAAGTCCACCAGGTGCTGCACATGGCAAGAGTTAGATCGGCTCAAACGGTAGGTACGTCCTGGGAGCATGTCCTCACAACCGGCGAGGATGTAGCTTGAGTCAAACGGCACGCGGGCCTGCAAAACACCCAGAGCTCTCACGGAGCGCACTGAGGTCTGCGCCCTGTGAATTCAGCTCGGGGCACGGCTTGCTCTGGGATCAAGTTTCTTGGCTGCATACGCCAGGCGAACTGGCTGTAGACGTCGCAAAGGTTCGAACTGGAGGCTTCTGACTTCCATGAACGTGAAAGTGAAGCAGGATGCTGCAAGCTAAATGACTCGTTGCAAAAGACTACATGCAGGACACGGTATCCTGGCACATCCTAGCTCGATGTTAGGAGGCCCGCATGCATTCGTCCCGAGTCTCGAAGCTGCAGCCTAAAGCAAAGCACCGAACGTGGGGAACATTGCAAACGCAGGCCAGCTAAGCACAGCACCACCGTCATGCAGCGACGGTCGACTTGATGTCGTCATTATCGCAAGGGTTTTGCAGTCAGGCCTGAGCAAAACCGACAGCCCGTTGGCTTCTCTCTGGAAGGAAGTCTCAGAGACGTACATTCGCTCAAGGTTCAGTCCTGCGTCGATCATGCGGCACATCACCTGAGACCACAGAGAGAGCAGCAAACTCGGTGTTTACTGCCTTCCCAGCTGTACAGAGGTGCGAGAATTGAGTTGCAATGTCCGGGGCCAGAGTATTAGTACTAGCATCAATCCCCGCCGTACATCCGTTCTCCGCTCATATGCAACCTCGTGCCATGAGCTCTGGTGTCGGGGGGGCAACGAATCTGCCTGCGGTCTCAATCCATGAGTCTACACTGCAGCCTGAGAGAAGCGGGTCGAATTTTCCGTCGAAATCTGAGGCTGCAGACTGACAACTCCCACGTCTCGTCGGCGACTCGCCTTTGAAGCCTGTCGAAGGGTCCCTGACTTGGGCACTTCCCCCTAACGCCGCGTCCATCCCGAAAAGCCCCTGACTCCCTAAATCACATCACAGTCCGAAGGCCGAAGCGAACTTGGGAATCGTGGCAGCGGAACTCCCGCAGGAACGTAGTGCAAGCGCCCGGCCTGGGTTTGTCGATCCTACTTTCTGTAAAATGCTGTCTAATGCATAGATGATAAGTATACTAGTACGAAGCACACGACTCGTGTAGTGCGGCTATGCATGACGTAACTCGACAGATCCACCCACTGGTTGCTGCCCAGAGGCCAGTTGTTGGTGAGGGCACAGCCATTACGCAAAGCCACTGGGTTCTGAGCGCAAAGTGTCGCTGCGTGACGCCATGCACTGCGTCAGATGTTATTGTAGGGTTGGTGTAAGGCCCAAGCTTCCTCGAAAGCGAGCCAAAAGTCCTCCCACGGCGCACACGATCTTACAGGCCTACAGACTTCAATTGAATAATGAACAAATTTGCACGAAAAGCCGGAAGATGCCTTGCAGTCTTTCTGAGAGTGCGAGCATCCCGTCGGGCACTGCGTAAATGAATTCCGTAGTCTGCCCCCAACCTTAACTGCAACCGGCGACCAGCCGGTTGGTGACGGCGTCTGTGACATCGCCGAGCTGAGAACTTCAATCATGTACTCCGCTAGACCCGTAACATCGCAGTTGTCTCCAGCCAGTTGCTGGCAATCAACCTGCGCATGACACAGGCAGTTGAGGTTGTAGGGTTTGCACTGCTCACACCCATGCCCCACACCAACTGCTGCATGAAGGTCTCGTCGAAGAGGGCTGCGAATGCATCTCTAATTTCATCCGTCATCCTCACAGAGATCACATCTAGTGCGTCGTCTTTGCTCGTTGGCTTCCCGCTGCACGGTTGTTGCAGTCCTGATTTCGAACTCAATTTCGGGGGCAGGGCCCTCGATGATCTGGCATCGTGCCAGTGGCACGAGTGCCTTTATCAGACGAGGTCAACATCGAGACGCTGGACTAGCAGTAGGGAGCATGGGGCCACCCCTCAGGCTCGAACGCCCAGAGAGAGGAGCAAGAGACCCAACCCCATGACTCTGCAGCGGGGGATGTCTGAATCCTCCCTAAGAGCAGTCAGACATGGCCGATGGGTGAGAGGACGAACTACGGTGAGACGGCCATCCAGGACGGCAGAAAAAATCTTTCTGCAAGTTCTGGGTGGGCTGTGGTAGGATGTGGTAGGCCGCTGGTCTTGCGTTGCTAGCGGCCAATGGGTGTAGAGAAACGCCAAACAGCACTGATTCGCCGCATTCGAATCTCTTCGTGGACCTTGTGTTCGAATTAGTAGTCTGAGGCTGGCAGGCGCCATGCACATCGTGGATTCAGGCTCCCTAAACATGCCAAATTGCCGCTGGTCATCCTTTTTCCGTCGAGGGGGAGAGCGTAGCCACTTGGACGGAACACTCGAAATCTGCTGACACCAGAAGAACGTGACGATCTATTTTTGTACCTAAGTCAGATCCATCCTTGTCTGGCTCTTCCTGCTGCCTTTCTAGCAGCGAAGAAACCTCTTCACCGCTTGTACTGTACATACGGCGGGGGAGGTTCTGCCCCTCAGAGCACCTGAGCCAAGGACGCAGACTGCGCGGACCGGTGCCTGATAGTGCGCACCTTGCATCCAGTCGGCTCTATCTGATGAGAATCGGCCCAAGGATCACGAGTAGAACCTTGCAGGATGACGGAGTAGGCTGCACGAAGCCGGGATACACACACGACTGAGGCTGCCGACAATTAAAATCAGAATGGAAATGCAGCACATCCATTTTCGCCCCTGGCTCGCTGCGCTATCCAAGCTTCGGCTACCCAAGCTGTTTCACGACTGGTGGTGGTGGTGGTGGTGGTGGTGGTTGGTGGTGGTGGGTGGTGGTGGTGGTGGATGGTGGTGGTGATGATGATGGTGATGATGATCATGATGACGAGGAGGATGACGATGATGCACCCCCACACACACCCCCCCCCCCCGGCGCCACCGCCGCCGCCGCCGGCACCGCCGCCACCACCACCACCACCAACAACAACAACAGGCACCAGTCGCAGTGGGAGTGGGAGTGGGAGAAGAAGTAGTAGTAGCAGCAACAGCATCCAGCATCAGCAGCAGTGGTACAGTCCTCGGCCGCCTTCCCCTCTTCCGCGACTGGCACCGTTCCGTGAAAGGGGGAAAGGACTAGCAGCCGCAAGTGAACGTCATCGGTTGTGGCAACAGCAGCAGCAGCAGCAGTAGTACAGTCCTCGTCCGCCTCCTCCTCCTCCCCACGACTGGCACCGTTCCGTGACATCCGTGACACAAGAGGAAAGGACTAGCAGCCGTAAGTGGGGTCGTGTTGTTGATAAACACTGCCGGCACAGTCTAAGCCTATGCCTGCTGAGCCTGCTGTCCTCAGGGTGAAGTCTTCAGACACAACCCGTCTACAGTTGAAACCTTTGATAGCCTCCTTGGTCTGGTGTTTCAGCTTCTCATTGAGTGCCCAGTGTCCCCCCGTGCCTGCATCTGTGCTTTCCGGGTCTTGATCAACTCCTAGCAGGCTCTGGATGTCGATCCTAGCTTTGGGATTCGAGGATTTGGAAGCAGGTCCTGCTCCGCTTGCGCAGTGTACCCCTTCGTGTTGTTCACATGAACCTTTGCAAAGTGACTTCAATTCAAGTCTTGGCACCCCGAGCCAACAGACGAGACTAAATGCCTCGATTGCATCCAACATCTCACCCTGCGCATCCACGAGGACAGCCATCTCTTCGAACATCTGTGCCTGGTCAGAGCTCTGAATCCTGGTGATCAAAACACCTGTCGAGCTGCCAAGCCCCGTACCAGGTCAGTGATGCTCTGCTCCAGCCGTATAATGTCCTGGAACCGTACCGTCTACAAGTTGTCGAGATACCGAGGAGTCTAAGCTGAACAACTACTACAACAGGAGTGCTGCGAAATCCCCCTCGAAGAGTATGACATCCAAGGCCACGTTTTTGTTGCCAAGCTCCTTGTGCTTGTCCTGTATGCGCTTCACCTCCGATTTGATGCTCCCAAGAACGGAACTGTCTGTGGAGACAAGCAGAGAGCAGAGCCTCATCCAGCAGGAGGGCATGGGTGCCGGCCATCCTGCTTCAGCAGTCTGAGCTGTAATCGGAAGATTACGAGACTTCCCTCGGTCGGCTGAGCCGGCTGAGGAAGATGCTTCTTGGCCACCATGAGCGCTGCAGTCTGCCCGTCTGAGATCATCTCCTGTCGCTGCTGCTCTGAGGCCTGCGACGACGGCAGGCGTCAGTGTCCATCCGTCGAGACATCCTTGTCACTCTCACAGCAAGAATGCCTCAGGCATCAGAATCTGCATTTCGCGCAGCTGCCGACGCTCAAGGGTGCGCTTGAACTCCATCTGGGCCTGCACATCGAAGGTCTGCGAGCCGGGGATGCAAAGAAATAACAATGCAGAGAAAGTTCTGACGTACTGCATCCACATGCCAGTGTTCCGAGTGACTTGCAGGTTGACGCCTTCTGGAAGTCCATCAAAAGCTGTTGATGCCTAAGCACACAATGCCAACGGTCCACTACGGCTCTGCAGCTAAACTTCTCGCACAAACGTTTTTTCACCGCACTCCTAAGGTAGCTTGAGAACTCAAGGGGCCCATATTGGGCCGCAACGGCAACGGCGGAGGTCAAGTACCATCAGGCACTGGACCAGCTGTTCTCACAATGGCATGCAAAGCCACAGCGTATTTCCGAGCCAAGGAGTCCACTTCTTGGCCATGGCCTGCTGCATGTTGGTCCTCTGTGCGGTTTGCGACTGTTACGACGCCTTTTCAACATCTGACTGGACCTCTGACTCTGGCACTGTCCTGATCTTCATCTGCGCAGAGTTTGGCTGCTTGGCAGCTTCTTCCTTGCCCGAAGTGAACTTGAGACCCCCGACGCAAGGACTTGCTCCGCCTCCGAGCGCTGCTTCAGAACCTCTAGGCCATGCTTCACATCGGCCACGTGCTGATTGGTCTCCTCTGACAGAAGCGGCGGTGGTTGATGGTTGCAGCAAGGATGCAAGCCGGAGCCAAGCCTCTACAAGTTTGTTGAGGCTTTCGGAAACCTCCGTTTCTCTTTCCTGGGTTGTTGCCTCAAAAGCGAAAAGGGATCACTTTTTGCGCTGGCAGCTTTCTTAAGATTCGCCTGGCCTGGAGCGCCTCTTCAAGGACGACTCCCATTTCCTTCACATTGCTCCTGCCTTTTTCCAGCAATCCTCACACGCTGCCCGCTTTTGCAGAGGCTGAGACAATAACGAAACCTTCCGTCCTTGGAGTTCTCGAACTTGCGTGAAGAACCTTGGACATCTTCCTACAGCACGGAAGCTATGTTACGAGACTGAGTGCTCGGGATGAGAGTCAGAAGCCATGGATCAGGCCCCCTCATGAAGCTGTTGGCTTCCTCGGCTTGCTAGAAGGTGATAGCCCTAGCACGGGCTGGCAGCAATTAGGTCAGGTACTGCGCCGGAGCTCGCAGCGCCGACTGTACCTGAGTTAGCTCAGGACTCTTCCAAAAATGTGGGATCAGAGCACACGAGACAAGGACCGAAAGGGTTCGTGGACTTGCTGCCTGTGCCATGGTCGGAGATGAAGCTGGTTCCTGGCAGACCACTCTGATTCTGCAACGCTAAAAAAGGCTCCTTCCTCTGCCTGACAAACCGCGACTCCCCGCTGTCGACCTCGAGGAGCCCAAAGCGACTGCCACTTGCAGCGAGAGATCAGAAATCTGCAAACCCTCAAAACACGGCCTGGCTAGCTTTCGGTCAGGATGCGGGTCGTGGCCACCGCTTGTCGGCGCGTTCCTCCGCCTCGCTTGTTCTCCTGCCCTTACCCAGCTCCTTTTGCAACAAGACGCTGAGTCTGCTTGGTAGGTGCGCATGCGTTCGCATGTACGCCCCTTCTGATCCTTCGCAGATGTGTGCTGTACTTGTCGACCAGTAGATGGTTGCATGTACACCCATCATCATCAGCAGCATCAAGATCGATAACATCGGAACTACGATTACCGAGTTAGGGTGCTGGCGAAGCAAGAGTGTAAACAGCCCTTCCCCAACAAAACACCTCTCGGGGAAAAGGTGTTGATTCCTTGCTTGGCTTCTGCCATCGGCCATCGTTCGGCATTATGACCACGTCACCCCGAAGAACTAATCCCTAAACTTGCTGCCGCAAAACCCCTGAAGCCTAAGCTGGACTTCGGCTACGCGCGTTGGTGAGGCGCTGGCGTCAAAGAACCCTTTGCTTGTGCCAGCCTCTGGAACTCTGCCAAGCGGTCCTCAAGCAGCTTGCAACACTCGCATTAACGGCATCATGAACGGTATAGGGAGACTCTATGGCTGGGTCTTCTCATGTTCGAATGATACAGGCGCAGACTTGTGACAAGGCGAGGATGATAATGGTGATGGTGATGATGACGATCACCTTCAACAGCATCATAATCATCTTCATGATCATCATCTTCTTCTTCAGCATCACCATCACATCACCATCATCACCATAATCATCTCATTGTCATCTTTATCATGGTCATAACCTTGTTCTCATCAGGGGCTATGGCTGCTTGCTAGCAACAGAGACAGAAAGCTGAGGCATTGACTCTCACGAGCCGTTCTGCAACTGCAGTGCCCATGCGGCGGTCGAGACTGCTTGCCCTGCAGATGCTGTGTTTGCTGTTTCGCCATTTTGCTTCTGGGTTAGGGGTGCTTCGGCCCTCGCGACAACTACTACGTTGTGGCTATTCAAGTGGCTATTCGGCTATTTCGTCGTTTCTTGTTTGTGAGTGGCCTGCTGCTTCTCAAGACTGCTGTCAATATTCTGCTTGGCGCTGGCATCATTCGTTGGACCAGGGCTAAGGTGCGAAATTGCATGCAAAAGGTCTGGGGCCGTCGTGTTGGCAGCCTGAGAGCCACACTGTCAGCTGCCGAAGAAGGGAGCAATTGACAATTGTTACAGGAGCGATCGCAGGAGTGGCAGCAGCCCCAAACATGTGCATATGCTCAACAATCAACATGCGAAGGTAGAAAACCACAACAATCACAG